CAGTTGCAGTTGCATGTCCGCACGTGATGCACACATGTCAACAGGGGGAGAGGGCGAAAGCCTCTCTAAATGCGTACTTCCCATATAGATAAAACCGAATGCAGCTCTGATTCAGCGATAACAGCATATAACAGGCAATTGGGGCTGTCGAATATTTTATACACTTGTCAGCCCGATAATCAATATTGCTTCTGTTTCAGATATGAATGTGGCTATTAAGTCAGCTGCTCCTGATATGGCTGCAAGCCCTACTTAAATTTCATTTGTCCGGCTTACGATTCGATTCGTAGACTGTAGACACCTTAGGCTCCCGGTCGTAAAACTGGAATTGCACAGGGCAGGGTTATGTTCACCGTTTTTATATAAATGCAATTGTCTTCTTCTATGCGTAACACGTTCCGTGACAATGTTATAGTACCCTCTGCAAGGGTATATAAAAACCAACAGCCCACACCCAAATTCCATTTCGCCACCAGTCATTACTTTTGCCTACGCCGTGTGATCATTTAAGCTCTTTATAGCTTATTGGAACAGAATATAAATACATATGTCTGTATTACTACAGCAATCCCATTCATGATAATACTATAAATATGCACAAATATGCGCCTAAGGCGTCATTTTTTATATTTTTGTATTGCGTACTGGGATATATACCTTTATGACTATAATTATTTATACAAGTCATCAATCTTATGGATTATAAACCCAATATCCCTGACATTTTCATGCAGGACCTGGTGCAGTAGTATTTAAAAGCAAAAAAGCCATTTAATTTATCAATGTAAGTATTCGAATAAACTTTGTATTTGTGCACTTTGAGTTGAATATAGTTGGAATCCTCTTTTACCGCGTTAGGAAGGTATCTTAATTGCAAGCTGAAAGCGCGTGAGACACTCAATTTCGAAGTAAAAATGCAATATAAAATCGATGCAAGAAAAATAAATGGGTGTTGAATATATTAAAAAACACAGAGTGCGATTCGATTAACTACAACCAAAGATAAATGCGTATCCAAGCTCAATTAAGGCCAAGCAAAAAACATAGTAAAATAATTTGTTGCCTTTTATACGCTATATCTCTTACCACCAGCACACAGGAAAAGTTTTTGCGACGGCCTGGGCAAAAAATATGCAGCTGCAGAGCTCGAATTTCAATTCTGGTTTCCTTAGAGTCATTTTCTTGTAATTAAACGAGAATAAACGACGTCAACGACCGATGACCGCGCACAAAAGATAGAAGGCCAAGTTAACGTCTGGCTCGACTACTAGATACCCAGTTACAACAATATGAAAAATGTTACGTATTAGGGTGTAATCAATGCAAAATAGTGTACACTTTAATCTACATTATACTCTTTGGCCGCTAATCCTCTGAGCTCATCTCTACTCTATACTCTACCTTCTATATACTATACTCTGCAAACTATTCTCTACACTCTAAAATATACTGTTATAGCCCCTCGCTTCACTCTACTCTACACTTTATTCTACACTCAATACACTCTGAACTGTCCTATACACTCCACTCTTCGTTTTTATCCAGAACCTTCTCAACACAACACAACACAACAACATTAACTAAGTTAATACACTACTCTACTCTCTCTACGCTTCTTTCCACTCACACTAGACCTTACGTTCTTTACGTTAGACTCTACTGTACACTCTTATAGTTCTATTCTCAATACTGTCGTCTTAAGCCTGATCTACAATTTTCTCTACGAGTCCCTTATAAACTATAAAAATCTTACTCACTTTACTATAATCTGCAATCTACACTTTATATTCTACGCTCTTCATTTTACTTTTTATACTATACAGCTTACGCTCTACTCTACTGTGCATTCAGATATTAGAGTCTTTAGTCCATTCATTTCTATTATGTTTTACAGGGCTCTCATAACTTTTCTCTCGACTCACATAAGACTCTACGCTTTAGTGCATATTCTGCTCGTCACTGTATGCTACAATATCCTTTTTACCCTGGTCTACCATCTTCTCTACAAATCATATATGCGGATCTGAACTCTACTCTTCTATACTCTACACTATACGCTTTTCGCTCTAAACTCTACACATTCTACACTTTACACTTAACTTTCTACTCTACTCTCTGCGCTGCCCTAAGCTTTACACTATATCCTTCATTATATAACCTCTTCCTCTGTTTACTTATGCTATTCAGGTACAAAAAAATTAACAAAGATAATTGGATTAAGTTGACAAGTTGACAAAGGACCAGATAAATGTTAACAATGAACAAAACAAAAATTCAGCATTATTAAAGTGATTGAAGTGAATGAAGATATTTTACTGGACTCATTTTATGATAACCCGACAGAGAGCTTTATTAGGTTCGATTCTGTATTCTATATTTTTGCAGCATATCACGCAATGACTTATACAGCGGCTACGTGTGACCTTTCGGTTTTGCATAACAGCCCTCTTATCGCAGCAACTGAGTCACGAGCAGAAGTAAGAACGACACAGTAGCAGTTCTGAAAGTAGGGGCTTCCATTATCGCTGCTGCTGGCTGTGAGTCACTTGAAGAGCTGCATCGGAGGTCACTGGGGCGCAGGGTGACTACAGGGTGCAACGCGAAGCCAAGCGAAAGGCATTTAGATAAATGCATACAGTTGGGTGTAATTTTTGGCAAAATAATAAAGAGAAAAAGACGCTGATAACGAGGCAAGGCCAAAATAGAGGGTCAAATGGAGCCAATCGGGCGTCCTTGAGCGGAAGACATTTTCAGCTGATTTGGACAGAATTTACTCTTGAAATTGAAAAATGTGTGGGCGGAACAAGCCCTCTTCACCACGCCATTTACTTGTGTAGAGCATGTTCCAGTTAAGGCGTGACATTGTCTTTCTGTTAACCTTTTTTTTATGACTGGCGAAAAGTTTCACATAGTTTGCTGAAAGTGTTGCCACTGGCCTGGTGCATGGGGGCGTATGATTTATGCGCATTACATATACGCACTGTCTGCCGCGTGCAGCCATAAAAGATACACGAAGCACAGCAGCAGCTGCCTTGAGATGGCACAGCACATTGTCCGCTGGGGCAAGAAATTGATTTGCCGCTCACGTCTGGCAATCACATGTAGCTCTGGTGTCCTAGACGACACTTTTAATTATGCTTGACATTCAGAGCGTTTGCCATCATGGCATATCAAATGACTTCAAACAAATCAATGCTGGGCGCTGAAAACTCTTTGAAATGGCTTGCACGCAATTTATTAAAGCTCAAGTAAATAAAGCCGCGAGGCGCTAATTGTATTAGCCAAATTATAATTAAATCAATACAAGACGCCCGGACAAAGGTTAAGAGTCGTCCATTTACTGATTGTTCTTAAAATGGGAATTACGAGTGCGAATACTCGAAATGCCATTTTACAATCGACTTGCTATACCCTATTCCCACGTGGGCCCGCCGCCCACCATTCGAAGTGAATTAATTAGCCGAAAGCCAATTACGCAAAACGACGACTTACGCAAAATGTTGGCCAACGGCACGCAACCAAACGCCCCGCTGGGAGCTGTCGTGCAGGACGAGGCACGATCTGGCCAGGAACCCAAAAATAAATACATACCTATACAAAAAAAAAAATATATATATATATATATATATATATATATGTAACTAAACATTTATGACAGACAACACGTCCGTTGCCGCTAAGAGCCGCGTTAATTTGACAAGCCCTTCGCTTAACACTCGAGGCGTCCACTTAAAGTGTCGCCCCGCTCTTTGATAAAGTGCGTCGGCTGAGCTGCGAGTCAGTTACCACAATTTGCACTTAGCTGCAACTGCCACACGTGTGTGCGGCGTGGCAGGGCGACAATTAAATGGAAAACGTTCTCATGCCGCGCGCAAATTGTTGTCATAGCTTGATTGATGCCATACAGCAGTCGGGTGCTACCAGCTGCCAAGTGGCAAGCTGCAATTGGCAAGCTGCAAGTGGCAAGTGGCAAGTGGCAACTGGTAAAAAGGCAAGTGGCAAGTGGCAAGTGTGCAGGCTGCCCTTTGCTTAAACTGTAAATGGCCTGACTGGCCGGTTGCCACACGCTTGTCCATTTGTTTGGGGCACCTTGGCGTAAACAAGCCATATCCTGTGGGGCTGGGGCAACAGACGCTGCACGCGAAATAGATACAAAAACCAGATACTAAGCGCTAAACAACAATAACGGTAAAGATAGTGCCAACAGCTTAATTGTTGTACTATATTTAGATACTCTGTACCCAGGGCAAATTAGGGTATATCGAAGCTGTACGAGTGTATGTAAATAGTTGAAGGCTGCTGCTAGAGCGCTGAAGGTATTTATATATTATATATATTCTTGAACGGAGCTATATGCTAAGAAGAATATTTTACACAACTTTCCACGTTTTCTCTTTTAAATTGAAACGCCGCCCTTTTAGGGGCAAGCACTTGGTTTTTTACATATATAAATGCAGTCGTATTAATAATATAAAGAGAAAGGCTTACAAAAGTCGGATATATTTTTAATATTGTGGGGCTTGAGGAAAACGAAGAAAAGAAGCGAAGTGTTTAAGTTAATGTAAGTTAATAAATTAAATCCTAAACATTTATGCATGCATGTTCTGTGTACAGAGTAACTGCTAGTCAGGCAATCTCGCTTGAAACATTCCTACTTGTTAGTTGCTGGCGCTGCGGCCTTATCGACTTTGAGCCAAACATCGAACGTATTTTTGGCAAATATTTATCAATTTATTGCACTAAAAAATTGCTACAATTACTCACAAATATATGTGCGTAAACTAATGTTTGTGTGCGGGTGTTTGTGTGTGTGTGTGTAAACGTGCCAAACGATGATTAATTTATCTCTCTTGTTGTTTTCGCTCTTGTTTTTCACAGCTACATGAAATGGTTGGGGTGTAAGCGGTCGCAGAGGCAGCAACAGCAGCAACAGCAGCAGCAGCAGACGAAGGAAGGACACAGCGTGCCACATACACGCGGACACGCGGACACGCGGACACGCACACTCGCACTCACACATAGACACGGCGAACATGGCGTATGCGCAACGTGCAACTGCAACATGTGTTATTGCAGTTCATTTACTGAACAATTCTCGTCAATTAGGCAATTCGCGCTCGTATAAGCAGCATAATTGAAGCTGTTTGCAATTCCCAATAAATAAATTAATTATATTACTTCAACGACTGACAAGTGCGCGCGCACATCCTGTTTGGCCTCTGCAAACATGTCCGAGTTTCGGTTCTTTTCTTACTCCGACTTTGCTTTCACCTCGAAGGGCTCGCAGAATTTGATAAATCTGCCAATAACTCCGTTTTCTGCAGCCAGTACCCAGTCGAAGGAAGAGACAGATATCGAGCTGAACATTCCATATACCGTGTTCGAGGTGCTGGTGGCCATTGTCAGCATCATTGGCAATCTGATGGTGATCATTGTGTTCCGCCGCGAACGGAAGCTGCGCCGTCGTACCAACTACTACATCGTCTCGCTGGCCATGGCTGATTTTCTGGTTGGCTCCCTGGGCGTGCCTTTTGCCATACTGGCATCGGTTGGTCTGCCCAAGAACCTGCACGCCTGCCTCTTCACCGTTTCGCTGCTGGTGGTCCTATGCACCATATCCATATTCTGTCTGGTTGCCGTATCCGTGGATCGCTACTGGGCCATACTCTATCCGATGGCCTATTCCCGCAATGTGCGCACCCGCACTGCAATCGGTAAGTCAGAATGAGGAGGGGGCGGGGTGAGGATGCGTCCATATTTACTAGCTTTCTCGTTGCATTGTGCTCGGCTTTCTGGCAACAAAGCCCGCAATTATGGCCAACAAATCAGCATAGTCCATATTGTTCCGGCTGCCAGTTGGCCAAGTTTGAGTTGCAGATTTGTGGCAAGGCAGGAATTTCATAGAACAAAAGCGACGAAATGAGAGCAAAAAAAGGCCTGCAAGAAACTTATCTCTTAAAAAAAAAATGTATTGGGGCATGAGCTAGTTTGGCAGCCATGTTTTACGTGAACATGGAGAAGCAAAAATCTAGAGACTGTATTTAAATGGCATTAAAAGTTTTCAACCTTATTGCGAAAGCAATTAAAGCGACCATGGATGTGTGTTTGCTGGGCTGCTGCTAATGTAATTTGCATAGAATAAATAGCGAGCAAAACATGGAGAGTTAAAGTGAACATGGATGAGCAGTAATCAATAAGACTCTTTAAAGTGACCCTGGAGGACATGCTTAGCTCATTTTAATAAACCTATGTTCTACTCTGTAATAGAGTGTAGTCTGAAGCGATCAAGAAAAGCTTAGATAAGGAAAGGGAGACAAGCTAGCTCAGCAGCAATTCAATTGACAATGGAGGACAATAGGTACTAGCTTGGTACTGTACTACAGTAGAACAAAGTGGAAGCAAAAGTTTTATATAGTAGAAGTAGAGAGTACTTAGAGCAGAAGTAGGAGAATGTGGTAAGAATAGGGTAATTTAAATAATTAAGACACGATTAGCAAAGCAAATGAAGTGTCCATGGACTACTTATGTTACAAGAATAACTAAATGCTGAAATAAAATAAGATTGTTTGCAGAAGTGTGATTCATAGAATTTACTAGCTTAACAACCACGAAGGAGTCATTGGCAATTAATTGGAAAAGGAATCAAGTCAGCATGGTGGACAAAGACATATTGCTGAGCAATTCGAAAAGTCAGAAATTGAGCACTTTAATTATTTAGGAATTTAATGCAATGCTAAAGTAAATAAAAACGAAAGGAGGTTAAATATTGAAAAGTGAACATGGAGGACGTGTTAACTGCTTGGAAAATCTAACAAAACATTTATCACTTAAAATAGGTTGGGATTAAATCTGTTTTGGCTTGTGGTACTAAGTAAAACTTATATGAAGAAACTGAACATGGAGGACGTGTTTATTGCTTAACAAATTTGGAAAAATATATACCACAATGTTGGGATTAAAGTAATATAGATTGATGCTACGCGGAATACATGCTCACTTTTTGGATATTCATTTTACACTCTTTTCATATGAAAATAGAACTCGGATGTGGTAGAAGAAATTTAGTGCACTCAAGCATGAAGAAATAATAAGAAATCAATTTAAATGAATATGAATAGGCAGGACAAGTGTAAAGGTCTTTATTAGAAAAAGAAGAAAGCATGTGCTGAGATTGAAGCAGTCAGGAGTTGTCCCTCTTACATTTACCTATTAAAGAGCCAAGGGTCACGGCTAACAAAACAAAATCAGAAAGGGAAAAACAAAATGTTTGCTATTGACATAATGGAATGCGAATTAATTGCTTGTAACTACGTATGTGCTAAGCGATGGGTTAGCTATAAGGAGTTTTCTTTTGGGTTACATGGCGTGTGCGTCATTTGGCTAAGTGCATGCGGTTCAATGTACTGTCAGGAGTGTAATGAGTGCAGCAAAGCCAAACAATATCCCAGGCAGGAGCCAAAAGCAGAGGCAGAGATAGGGATAGAGATAGAGATATAGACAGAGCCGGAGTCGGACTGATGTGCAACACATTTGAAAGTCTCATTAGCATTTTGTCAGTGGACAGTTGAGTCATTGTGGTGCGATGACGTCAGGCCGTCAAGGACTTGCGTGGGGCTTCGGTGGGTCTTCTGCTGCTTGCTAATCCAGTGCATCCTTTTGCAGTCATCATATCCGTGTGTTGGGTGGCCGGGGCCATTGTGGGCTTTCTGCCGCTCTTTGGCTGGCATGCGAACGTGCCACACGATCAGGAGTGCCTGTTCGTAGAGGTAATGGACTACAACTATCTGGTGTTTCTCTACTTTGCCACCATCATCACGCCGGCGCTGCTCATGCTGGCCTTCTACACGCACATCTATCGGGTGATCATCAAACAGGTGGGTCCAGTTGCTAAGGCCAGTTGCGTAAGTTTCTCACAACCTTTGCATATGCATTGCAGGTGCGCCAGATCGTAACCATGAATCCTGCCTCGGACCTGAGCCGACGCTCCTCCACCGCCCAGATGCAGGTGACAACGCCCGGCGCCCAGCGTGGCGGCCACACGGGGACCATGCTGCGCGTACTGGGCGCGGCGCGTAAGCGGGATGTGAAGGCCACACAGAATCTGTCCATCATTGTGCTGTTTTTTATGATTTGCTGGATACCGCTGTACACGATCAACTGCATCAAGGCCTTCTGCCCGGATTGCTATGTGCATCCTAAGCTGACGCTCTTCTGCATCATACTCTCCCACCTGAACTCGGCTGTTAATCCTTTGCTCTATGCCTATCATCTGAAGGACTTTCGGCTGGCGCTAAAGAACCTAATGCTTAAGCTGATGGGCGTCGATATCGATCAGCAGGCGGAGGCTATACATCGCTTCTCGCTGGCCAGCCAGCATCGTTTGCAGTCAATGGACTCCACCATGCGCACCACGCAGCCGCGCATGTATGTGGGTGAGTGTGAGTGCGCGTCGTCTACTTTAATACGCTCCGAGTGGCGGCTAATGATCCTCCTCTGCTTCCCCACAGACTCGCCCATTTGGCTGCGGCAGCAGCAGGAGGCGCTCAAGAACTCGCAGCTGCTGCCCAAATGCGGCGTGCTCAGTCCCTGTGTGAACAACATCAACCAAACGGTGGCCGCCGCCGTCGCCGTCTCCACGGACATTGAGCGCGACATGTGGAACATTGTGGAGGCCTCCAGCGGTGCGGAGCTGGGCGAGACCAGCTATGAGTTTCCCATTGTCAAGCAGGAGAGCGATCATGATAGCAGCCTCTCTGTATCGGCGCCGGCAACGGCACAGTCAGTGGCGCAGCAAGCAGCGCAGCAGCAGCGCTGCGACAGTGTCTACTCGTATGAAAACCAAAACTATTCGACCGGGCCCGAGGATGGCATTAGTCTGCCCGACGATCTAGACGAGTACGAGGATGTGTTTGTGCCGCCAAGCGGAAATAGCAACTACCAGGGCGTAGATCCAGTGGAGCTGCGCCGCAGCCTGGCCTGTGTCATGCGCGAGAAGCTGCGCTCCGATGACACCGACTACTACAGCCAGCAGCACGCGCTGCAGGATCCCACCAACGCTGACTACGGGCTGCCGTCCAAGGTGGAGCAGAGTAGACCCTGTTCCACGCGCACCTCCCCCAGCAATGGCGCACTGCCGCAGCAGCTGCGCGCCAAGCTGCTCGCCGGCAACTCGAGCAGCGATCACTGCCTGCCCCTGCCCAGCACTGGTGCCGCCACCGGCACCGTCTATGTAATCGATGGCGCCACGAATCCGCTATCGCCGGGTCACAAGCCCAAGTACCGTAAGTCGACGGCCCTGACGAGGAACTCGCGCAAGAAGAGTCGCTCCTGCACTTGCACCAACGAACAAAAACTGGCGAGTCCTGGCGAGACAACCGCCCCAACCACCGCCCATCATAACAATAATCTCAGCAATAGGCACTCGGAGCAGCAGCAGCAGCAGAACCACGATCACTTCTTCAGTCCCCTCAAGACGGTGGGCAGCTTCATGCAGCATTCCAATCTCTTTAATCTCTTCCAGCCGCACACAACGACGGCCCCAGCGGCGACGGCGTTGAGCATTGCGCCTGGGCCTGGACCAGGACCTGGACCTGGTGTTGGGCCTGCACCTGCTCCCGTTTCACGACTGACCGTCGGGGCCTTGACCTCAACATCGGCCTCGTCGTCCTCGTCCCTAGTCGCTGCAAGCGTGGAGAGTTGACCAACGGTCAAAGCTCCTCAGGCGGCAGGCAAACTCTAGGCAAATACTCGCAAGTCAATGCTTTTAGTATTAGTTCTTAGCTCTCGCGTTCAAAACGAGTCATAGATCAATGCATGGAACAGGTGGAAACTGAACGAATCAGTTCCAGTTGAGATCCGACAGTTCCAGTTCGATTTAGTAAATTATGCGCATTTATTTTTTGATATAATTATCTTGCATTAGTTAGTTAATTGTTTCCAACTAAACTTAAAGTCAATTTAAGTAAATTACCGTATTGTGCATACTCGTATTTTTTCTACATATGTATATAAGTATTACATTGCTTAGATATATTTTGATGTGACATATATATAGACCATCCTAAATATGCATGTGTGTTTAGCTAAGTATACTTGGACCGTCTGTGAAAATCAAAATTTATGTGTATATTAAAGGCATAGTTGAAGATCAAATAAAATATGAAATACCTAAATGCAAGCACGTAATAGTCTTTTTGATTTCTGACATTTTTTAATACATTACGGCTGGAAAGCTTGGCAATATGCCTGGCACAGCTGTGGCATTTCAATAAGCCGCCAAAAGCTTCGCAGTTGCACGTCAATGCAACACTCTAATAAATTAAAGACCTTTTAAAACGTATCGTCAAAGATTAAATAAAATATTCTTATTAAGTTCCATTTAATTTTGGCGTTTTTTAAGACATTTTAAGAAGCTTTGAAAGCACGCATATATTACCTGTAACAGCTGATGCATTCCAATAAGAATGCCGGCAAAAAGCTTTGCGTCGGTGTGTGTCTCTGCTAGATAGTCTTCTACTTATATAAGGGGTGCCCAGAGCAAGCGTAGCACAAAACGTTCTCCAAATGTTAACACAACAACAAAAACTAACATTAGATATTAAAATTTACTGTAAACACTATGATATTAATAAATCAAAAGGTTTTCGCCGGTTTATGCAAACAGCAGCCCAGCCAGCGAATCTATAACAAGGAAATTGAGCAAAACGGCACGGGAGGCGATACGTTAGCTGAGAAACAAACCATCATGGACATGAACCAGACCGCAACAGACCTAACGCTTGACGCACTAAAGAGCGTTGTTTCACAAGCTCTTTTGGGCAAATTCACAGCTGTTTTCCCTAAGCTTTTCAAGTGCCAATGGAAGACATATGAAGGTCAGAAGAAGGTTAGTTAGTACATCGTTTCATTACGTTCGAGGTGGGTGTGTTTCGGCCAAGTAAAAGCAAAATTAAAGCACATAAATCATTTTTTACGGCGATTTATCAATCAAAATTTTGCATTTAGTTAACAAAATTATTAATTCTCAGCAGCTAAATTAATGTTTGGTTTTTTCCACTCTCCGGCGTGCAGTTTTACGCGAATTTCAGTTCAGACTCCGCTAAGAACATGGCAACCCGTAGATTTTGTGTGGGTGGCAACTGGAAGATGAACGGCGACCAGAAGTCCATTGCGGAGATCTGTAAGGTTCTCAGCGATGCTGCTCTGGATGCCAATACGGAGGTGGTCATCGGCTGCCCGGCCATTTATCTGATGTACGCGCGCAATCTGCTGCCCTGCAGCATTGGCGTCGCCGGCCAGAATGCCTACAAGGTCGCCAAGGGCGCCTTCACCGGTGAGATTTCACCAGCCATGTTGAAGGACATTGGCGCCGAATGGGTTATCTTGGGCCATTCAGAGCGTCGTGCCATCTTCAAGGAGACGGACGAGCTGATTGCCGAGAAGGCGGAGCACGCCCTGGCCGAGGGCCTCAAGATAATTGCCTGCATTGGGGAGACACTGGAGGAGCGCGAGGCTGGCAAAACCAACGATGTGGTTGCACGCCAGATGTGCGCCTATGCCAAGAAGATCAGAGACTGGACCAACGTGGTGGTGGCCTACGAGCCCGTCTGGGCCATTGGCACCGGCAAGACAGCCACGCCCGAACAGGTGAGTACTAAATGCTACCCACTTCCCGGCAAGAATTAGGTGCTCATTTCATCTTTCATCCAACAGGCCCAAGAGGTGCACGCCTATCTCAGGAAGTGGTTGGAGGACAATGTCTCCAAGGAGGTGTCCGCCAGTCTGCGCATACAGTACGGCGGCTCTGTGACGGGTGCCAATGCCAAGGAGTTGGCCAAGAAGCCCGACATTGATGGTTTCCTCGTGGGCGGCGCCTCGCTGAAGCCAGAGTTTGTCGACATCATCAACGCCCGCAAGTAAATGCGGCCTGGATCGCACTTGCAGCAGCTCGCAAACTGCCCCCACAAAACCAAAAGCCGTAAAAAAAACAACAAATAACCAAACATATTCGATTAAGAGATCTATGGCATTACGCATCAATTGGCGCTGGATGATTGTAATCGAATGTAATTCAAAATTCCTTGTTCTCAAAAGTCGCTGTTTCCTTTTAAACGCTAACAATTCATAATTTATTCACACTTTGGCATAGATCACACACATTTCGAGTATCTATCTTAGGATTATTTGAATTACACTCATTATTTTTTAAATTTGGACGCTAAGACCTCAAAATAAATGTTAAAAATAATATGATTACTTATCACTCCTCATACATACATATATGTATATATGAATTACTAACATTAGATTAGTTTTAGACTTTGCTTGCTTTCTCTAGAATTTGATAAAGACATTCGGTTTGTTCATACTCTTGCAGAGGGTGTATTATTTTGTTACTAAATGGTTTTAGTGACTATGTTACGACGCAGCGGCCAGTTCTTATACCCTGTACCCATTGAAAATAGTTTGTAACTGCCAAGAGGAAGTGTATCAGACTTCATAAAGTATATATGTACAGTGAAAACTCTTAACGGACTCCCCTGAATCAGGCCATATCCATAACCCATTTATCAGAAACCACTTTTATTGAGCGGAAAAAACTATCCGACGGTCGCTGTCCGACCTCGTAAACCCCAAATATATGTTCAAAATCAGCATCAATTTTAAACGTAGGTTCTTCCGAGCAGCACGAGTTCGTTTCCGATAATCGTCGACCAATTTGAAGGCATTCGATAGAAATCGGTTAAAAAATGTTGTTTTTTTTTTGTATATTTCTTAGCTCTTTTCAGAAGTATAGTGCCAACTTTTCCATGTAGCTTCTAGTAAGGTATACGTAGATTCAGCAATTTATACGATTGCCCTCCCCACTCAAAATCAAATGAAAACAAATTCCCATTGGACCCACACAACAATTTTAGATGTGTTGTCTTTTTGTCAACTTGCGAATATTCTATGACATTCAGATCTACAGTATTTCATTTAAATCGGTTTAGCAGCAGAAGATAGTAAGGATAACATTGGCAAGCCACGTTGCAACTGGCGCAAATCGCAAGAATTGACTTACACACATACATTCATATGCGTGTCTTTTTCGAGTTCTATAATAAAGCTAATGATATACCTTTGCCTATTAAATAGGTAAATAGGTGTTGGTAGTTGGAGGTTAAGGGTATCACATAGTCGAGAGCACCCATAATTGTATTTTCTTAAACTTAGTAAGCTCTCCAGCACACAGACAGTTGTTTAGTATCCAGTTATTGTTATCATTCAGTTCGTTTAATTTCTCTTTAGCAACAAATCAGTTATTCTGAGCTACAAATTTAACATGAACAAAAATGTTCTAAGTATTTTACCAAATTTTAAACACAAAATGCCAAATTGCTTATAAATTACCAATTAGACAAAAACCTAATTAAAAACTAACTCCAATTGACGAAACTTATATAAAGGCATATTTAATTGATAATTATGGAACCACTTAAGCAATGCTATTCGTTCGATATTATTCTGCTGAAATCCAGTCAACGACCACGCGATGGGCAGGAGAACTTATTCACCTACAGCGTCTGCCTATTACATGACTTTGTTGAACTGCCAGAGAACCGTCAGTTTGCAGAATGCTTTCCTTTCAAGGCGCTGGGCAGGTTCGTGGCCAGCCCCTGCGAACTAATTGGTGCACTGACCAAGGGCATCCGCGTGAACGTGTACGAGCATGGCCAGATGTTTGGCCGTGGCATCTGCAGGCCATCGCAGCAAATGCTGCGCCAGCTAGCGCGTCCCACATTCCCGGTGAATGAGGTTCTCAGTGTCAAGTTACTAAAGGACAATAAGCACGTAGCTCACTTAGACCTTAAAATTATGTTCAGCTCTGCCGATCCGGATCCAGAGTAAGTAGCTGCTGCTAAAAAGGATATAATGTTGTTGTGCCAAGTAGAAGGAGGCATCTCCGACCCCATAAAAAATATATATTCTTGTGTGAACGCATCGATCTCAGAACCTTAAAGTAACATATGCAGAAGGAAATTATCATATCTTGTAGTTATCGATAAGAATCGGTTACGAGATTTGGTTTTATAATCATAATTTAAGAGCTATAAGACCTACATAGGCAAAATTTGGTAATCAGCTTCTCATATAGTGTACTAGCGGGTATAACCCGGCCTTACCCGTGGCACGTATGTTATAAAATCAAAAAAGCTTTGAAAATGATTTTAAAACTGATCGGTCGGGATTCAAACAAATCGGAAAACTCTTAAAATTCACCAAAAAAATCTTTGAAATGCATTTTCCTCCGAAGGATCTTTCTTATAGATCTTCGACCCCCATTTGCACCAAGGAGGGATGGATTTTTCAAAAAGTATGAGACAACCCTCAAATGAATTTGAATATAGATCTTTGAAAATGAGTTTGGGGCCGATCGGATGGTAAACAAAAAACTTTTATACAACCGTTTTCCGCCAATTTACCACTGTTGCGGGTGGAATTTTCCAAATCGTCGAAATACGTATTCATTAAGTTCTTATGTAGAGCTTTGAAAATAAGTTTGAAGCAAATCGGAAACAACTTAAAACTTCGCACAAAAAATCTTTAAATCGCATTCCCCACGAAGAAGTTTGAATTCTGCGAAAAGTGTGAAACACGTCTCAAATGATTTTTCTAATAGATCTCAGGAAATGAATTTGAGTGCGAAACGTCACCCACCAAATCTTTGACCTCCATTTCCACCAAGGAGGAATGGATTTTTCAAAAAGTGTGAAACACCCCTTAAATGAATTTAAACATAGATATTTAAACATGAATTTGGGGCCGATCGGATGGTAAACAAAAAACTTTCATACAACCTTTTTCCGCCAATTTACCACTGTTGCGGGTGGAATTTCCAAAATCGCTGAAATACGTATTCATTAAGTTCTTATGTAGAGCTTTGAGAATAAGTTTGAAGCCAATCGGACACAACTTAAAACGCCGCCCAAAAAATCTTTAAATCGCATTCCCCGCGAAGAAGTTTGAATTCTGCGAAAAGTGAGAAACACGTCTCAAATGATTTTTCATATAGCTCACTGTAAATGAATTTGAGCTCGAAACGTCACCCACCAAATCTTTGACCTCCATTTCCACCAAGGAGGAATGGGTTTTCCGAAAAGTGCGAAACACCCCTCAAATGAATTTGAACAAAGATCTTTGAAAATAAGTTTGGGGCCGATCGGATGGTAAGCAAAAAAGTTACATACGAACGTTTTTCGCGATTTTTCCACACTTGCGAGTGGAATTTCCCGAAACCCCGTCTTAACGTGCACCTACATTACATAAGGTAACTACAGTGAAAATTTCAGCTTCCTAGCTCTTACGGTTTGGGCTGTGCGTTGATCACCAATCAGTCAGTCAGTCAGTCAGTCAGTCAGTCAGTCAGCAGTCAGTCAGTCAGTCAGTCAGGACAAACAGTTTTATATATAGAGATACAGATATAATTTGTTTGTTTAAATATCTTCTCTAATTCCTTCATCACACATTTGGGTACCATATTTGTAAGCTTCAAATTACATAAAGTTCGTACTATAAACACCGTTGCCATTAAATAACTACTTAGCACATGAAAAGGTAGCTAGACGTGGGGTTCAGGGTATCTCCTAGACGGCTACTCCCGACTAGAGCACTCTTACATTTTTATATGGGCCTTTCTTTCAGCACCCGAATTCTGCCCGTTGGCTGTTACGATTTCTGCCGTCCGTTGGAGAAGTCCATCAATCCGCGTGACTTCATCTTCACACTGGGTCGCTCGGGAAAATGCCCGGCGGCCTCCTGCATCATCGACGAGCGTTTTATGACGCATGTCGGAGCGCCATTTAGCTGCATGCACAAGAAAAGCCAGCCGACTGGCAGGGAATGTGGTTGTGCCAGAGGCCGATCTGCCCAAAGGTCGCGATCGTAAGCTGCTAAAGAAGGTGCTGATCCATCTGTAGATTGACTAGCTGTGAGTAGCAAGTGTCCGGAATATCAATAAATCAGTGCCAGCAACACATTTAATTAAAGCGATGGCTACCTCTATTCGGTAGGGGATGAGCAACAGAAGCAGCAGCCATTGAAATTTGTGTCGGTGACAACTGGAATATGAATGGTGACCAGAAGTCAAGAGATAGGCATCGGCTGATTGCTGAGAAGGGGGACGCCGAAAGCCACAGTTTGTGGGCACCATCAATGCCTGCAAGTAAATGCGGCCTGGACCGTATTTACAGCAGCTCGCAAGCTGACCCCACAAAAACAAAAGCCGTAAAAAAAATAAAAACAACAACTTGATCGATTAAGAGATCTATCGCATTACGAATAACTTTAAAGAACTGCTGTCGATGGCTTCGAGAAACGTTAGAGAAACCTGATGGCGCTGAATGATTGTAATCGAATGTAATTCAAAATTCCTTGTTCTCAAAAGCCGCTGTTTCGTTTTTAACGCTAACAAGTTATAATTTACTCAGGTTTTGGCATTGATCATTGATCGAGTATATATCATAGAATTTTTTGAATTACAATCATTATATTTTTAATTTTGGACGCTTAGATCTTAAAATAAATGGTAAAAATAACGATTACTTATCAATCTGCAAACATATATATACATTTATGTACGACTAACAGTAGATTAATTTAGGCTCTTATTGCTTTCTCTTCTGTCGTACCCTGAAGTATGATACAGACATTCCATTTCACCATATATATAAATCTATAAATATATATATACAGAAAGCGATTGGCCAGACCGGACTACTACATCATATTGCTGCCTAAAGGAACTTTATTATTTTTATTCCCTTGTGGAAGGCATTAAAATGTTGTCATTAATCGTGTAGCGCACCGAAGGAGACATCGCTGACCCTATAAAGTATATATATTCTAGATCATTACCAACACCAGACTCATATAGCAGTGTCCATCTGTCTGTTTCTATAAATCTATTTTTGGAGTTTTTAAGCTATCGCCTTGAAATTTTGCTAGGTCCGTCCGGATCGGACTTCCGGGTCATAAAGCAGCCATAGTAATGATCGGTCGAAAATAAACTTTCTGTGTGTTATTTCTCTTTATTTATATATCTGACCAAACCCGGCACTTATTTGATTTAATATTTATATGAGCCAAATTTAATCAACATTCAACTACTATGTAAGACTACAGAAAGAACCAATCGATAAATTATTTTTTTATACACTCTTTACCACATATTATAGATACATATGTCATCAACATCCACCGATTTTCTGCAAGTGCATTTAATTTAATATCCAAACATAAGGAAACTTTGTTTTTCTTAAACCTAGCAAGCTCTCTAAAACACAGACAGTTGTATCATATCAAGTTAATTTTGTTATTCATTCCATTTTATTTCTATTTAACATCATATCGGTTTTTCTTAGCTAAAAATTTTACATGAATGAAAATTTTCTAAATATTTTACCAAATTGTAAACACAAATTGCGAGATTGCCAAACTGCGGACAAAAAAAACCAATCAAAAACCAAAACCAATTAAAGCATTAGTTTGAATGCATATGCATATATAGTTGATAATTATGGAACCACTTAAGCAATCGTATTCGTTCGATATTATTTTGCTGAATTCGAGTCGACGCCCACGCGATGGGGAGGAGAACCCTTTCACCTACAGCGTTCGGCTATTTAACGAATTTGTTGAGCTGCCAGAGAATCGACTGTTTACCCAATGCTTTCCTTACAAGACGCTGGGCGAGTTCGTCGCCAGTCCCTGCGAGCTTGTTGGTTCACTAACCACCAGGGGCATCTGCGTGACCATGTACGAGGGTGAGCAGATGTTCGGCTGTGGCAACTGCAAGCCTTCGGCTCTAGTGCTGCGCCAGCTGGCGGATCCCACATTCTCGGTGAATGAGGTTATCAGCGTCGAGTTGCTGAAGAACAAGAAGCGCGTAGCTACCGTAGAAATTAACATCAAGTTCAGCTCTACCGATCCAGATCTAGAGTAAGTAGCAACAGAAAATAGATGCGCATGATCAGGACTGAGGCGCAGGCTGACTCAGTTTGGTCATGCCCGTCTATATATCAGTCGAAAAACGCGTCGAAAGATAAAGACTTATAATTAAAATATATCTTTTCCGTATGGTATGGCAGAACATGTTCTTCTTGTTTTGTTGATATGTCGCCCCATTTCGCTTATATCGATAAAATCTGTTTCTAGAATTGGCCTTCTAAGCATAAAACAGGAGCTATAACAGCTACAGACACATCAAATTTGGTATGTTGTATGTATAGTAAATGCAGATTAAAAGTACTTCATTTTTGGATATCTTTTCAAATTTGTCCATTTATAAGGATAGTCTGCGCTTAAGCATTAAGACACATTTGGATACCTTATTTATTACTAAAAGGTAGCTTTAATTTTTGTAATGTAATATCTCGACTGTCTTTTAGCACCCGATTGCTTCCCTTTGGCTGTTACGATGTCTGCCGGCCGTTGGACAAGTCTGTCAATCCGCGTGACGTCATCTTCACGCTGGGTCGCTCCGGCAGGTGCGCGGCGACTTCCTGCATCACCGATGAGCGTCTTATGACGCATGCCGGCGCACCCTTTAGCTGCATGCACAAGAAGAGCCAGCCGACTGGCGAGGAATGTGGTTGTGTTTTGCGTGGCGTAAAGCCACCGCCAGAGCTCGATCCGACCAAGGACCGCGAGCGTAATCTACTGAAGAAGCTGCTGATTGATTTGGATATTGATAAGGAGCGGGTGCCTACGCCGCCGTCTGGCCACTTTCGTTCCAGGCGCTGCAAGTGTCCGAAATATCCCTCAAGCACCGACAGCGGCACATTTAACTCCAGTGATGGCTGGCTCTATTCGGAGTGGGATGACCAAGAGGAGCAGCAGCCGTCCATATTTGAAGCGCCTTTCACAGCAAAGCAGCTGGAGGAGCTGAAGGAAGCACGGAAACACACGCTGGGGGTCTGTCCAGTCATCAAGCAACCGGAACTAATTACCACCAAGTACACGCCCCCGCTGCTCTGCCCCGTGTGCCATGCAAACATCACCTGGTTGCCTAAGGTGGCCGCCTGCCCGTATTGCGGCTACAAACGATTCGAGATGGACAAGCCCAGCGAGGAGCCGTTCGATGAGTCGGCCACCGCGGCGGAGGTACTGCGCAATCATATTCTCAGGACGCGGCTGGACAGCGAGGAGAATAGCCAGCGGAAGCGTAACAGCTGCGCCAGCATTCCAAAGAGTTCCAAGGACTGCACCTGCAGGACGAGCCGCGTCTGCACGCGCTGCCGCATCCAGGAGCTGTGTGATCAGATGGTCACCCTAAGCAGCACCACAAAGGTCAAGTCGCAACCGCAGCTCAAATCGCAGGAGCAGAACCGGACGCCAAGGAAGACGGCATCAACGCCGTCGCAGCGGCGCAAGCAGCTGGTGGAGATCTTTACAGACATGCATGACGTCTACAGCGACAAAAAGACCCCCAAGCAGCTCACCGACAAGCTGTTAAAGGATTGCGCGGCAATCGCATGCAAGGCCAAGAAAAAGGGTCGTCGCCGCCAATCAGCTGCCATTAAGTGTGCGCTCAAGGATCTCGAGAAGACGTATCCGATCAAGAAAAGGAAACCGAAGTGTGTTAAGAAAGCCAAGCGTCGCATCAAGTCCAAGCGGTGAGTCAGTTGAACCATTCAACACAAACCAGTCCGACCTCATCAATCCTCGTCCCGCCCACTAGCTATACATTCCTGGTGCGCAAGGACAACTCGCGGCAGCCCACCACGCACCATACCTGCGCACGCGGCAGTGGCCGGGTGCCCTGCCACATGGGGTGGATGTGGACCGAAAGTGAGCTGGCACGACATAGATGCTGGAAACCGGGCGCCATCAAGAAGTCCATACGCCAGCTAATGGCCTATTTTCTGCGAGACTATCCCGCGGACAAGATTGGCAATTCACGGTTTCATTATCGCCGCCGCCGCCAGAGCCCCAACCAGCCCGAGGAAGAGGAGCCCCTGATACAGCATCCGACGCTGCACATAACCAAGAAATACGATGAATACACCATCACAATGCGTCCGCTTAAGGATGCCAAGAGTCTTGCCGTGGACGCCAATCCGTATGCGAACATGAAGCCGGTTGTCTTTCGCATCATCAAGGACCCGATTGCCACGGGCATGCGCAACATAAAGATCAGTCTCAAAGACAAGGGCTATCCCGTGTGCAGCTGCCATCAGCCGGTGGCCAGTTGTTTCTGTCGCAGTCACATTGACCAAAAAATAGTCGCTCACGAAGTTAAGCTGTTGAGCGAGGAGCGCGGTTGGCGTGACGTTAGCGACATCTTCGTCTACTCGGATCTCAGCGAGAGCGACAGCGACAACGAATTGGAGTTTGGAGTCACACCCCCCGCGGGTGTCATTAAGCCGGAACGCCGCCGAAAGCCCGATCGGGTTAACTGCGAGACCCAGTACAATGAGAATGACTGGGCCATGCCCACCCAGTATCCACATCCGGCCAGCGCCCTAGTGCAGTACGGCGGCTGTGTGATCGGTGAGCGGAAAGCCAGATTCCCCTGGATCATGGGCAAGGGCTTTGTCCATCGGGAGCCAAAACCACCGAAGATGATCAACAAACCCAAACCGGTAAAGAAGAACAAGGCCAGACTGAAAGGTGGCTACGATGGCGGCATATTCGAGGGTGGGTACGATCCATATCAAGGCAAACGTGTCTGGCACAAATCGAACAAATTGGAACCTAGTCCGTTCTATAATTATAACCCAGGATCAACGCAAACGCGTTGAGCAACGTAACCTAATTGAAATTTTAAGTAATGCTCAAAAAATTTAAAAAATCTGACTCGTTGTGTACTACCTGATCTTAGAAAAGAGAAGTGCTGTAAATAAATGGTCAGTGGTTCCGCACGAAATGTGTGCAGATCTTATGCAAATAAGTAAATGCAGTTTTATATACATATATATCCACTGGCTTAAGTTATAGCAGCGGGATGTTATTTTAGTCTGCATACCAAACATACATACATACATGCAAACATGCAGACGTTTGCACGATGCCGAAGTAAACACGACGTCTCGAAACTGGGCTTCAACTGTGAAGAAGCCAACCACTCATCGAAGGAGTGCAGCTGCAAGCCAAAATGCATTATTTGCATAAGCCACGAGACCGCGAACACGGCACACAATACCCTCAGCAGGGCCTGCCCGTGGTTCATTAAGGCATCACAGCCAACTGCCAAAAAATCAAGTTAATACAAATTAAATTGAACCATTGCAGAGCGGCCCAGGACCTACTCGCCCAAACTATACGGGAAGAGAACGCTGACCTCGCTATCGTCAGCGAACTACAACGGCCCAATCACGATTGCATTTTTGGTGCAGAGCAATTGAGGTGTCGCAGCAATTTGGAGATGCGGAAGCCCACCAGCGCAGCTTACCGACAGAAAAGCAGCAGCCGGATACACTAGAGCCAAGTGTAGCGGAATATATATATATGTATATATATATATATATATATATATATATATATAAAGCTGCTATATTGCACCTAGGATAGAAATCAACGAGTTCGCCGCCATACTGGACAACATCACGAACGATGCATGAACCCGTTCGCCAGTAATGGGGAAGCAGTAAAACAAACCAACGTGGGCGCCTCTTGCTGGATGAGTTTGCAGCTCGCAACGTGTCGCTACTCAACATCGGCAACAGGCAAACATTCAACAAAGCAGGCAGAAGATCTGTCATCGACCTTACCTTTGCTAGCCCATGCCTAGCGAGACGCCCGACTTTGATGGTGTCAGACACACAATGCAATAATAAGCCACTACGCCGACCAGCACAAGGACCAGTACCACCAGCAGGGCACATGTAATCAAGACACGCTCAGTCCAGAAGCGTTGTCGCTAATGGTCGAGAGCAAGCAACTTCCGGCCAGTGGAGATGCCGACCACTGTGCTAACCATATAGCAAGAACGGTAGAGGAAGCATGCAATGCTGTCATGCTTAAAAAGAGAAGGCGGATAAGCAGGCGCAGACCTGTTCACTAGTGGAACCAGCTTATAGAGACGGCTAGAAGCCATATAACCAGACGACGCTACCAACAGGCACACAGGAGACACAATTGCCAGGAGCTGGAGGCCTACAGAGCTCTTCGCCGCCCTTAAGAAGGCCATCAATCGCAGCAAGGACGCCGCGTGGAATTCTTATGTGCTGAAGCCGACGCACAACCCTTTGGAGCAGCCTATAAATTGGTCATGGGAAGAATGTGCAGGACGCCAATAGCCACAAGCGAGGACCAGCTAAGAGCAATTGTCACCAAACTCTTCGCCTCGCAACCAACGCTGCACATGGCCATCACGTATGCCGTAGCGTCGGTTGTAAAATGGACGGACGCAGAGGAGGTGCTACAGGCCTGGATTCAGCCAAACAAGCCCCAGGACCTGCCTCATCACGACCCTGGACGCAAAGAACGCGTTTCATTCAGCTAGCTGAATGAGCATTATACGCGCGCTTCAAGGGCTCCAGATATCGGAGTACTTAATAAGCTTGATAACGGACTACTTCTCCAACCGTGTGCTCCTGTATGACACCTCTACAGGACAGCGTCACCACACTATAACAGGCGGCGTTCCACAAGGCTCAGTCCCTGGACCTACATTGTGGAATGTAATGTACGACGCAGCTCTCCGCTTGGACACCTCAGCAGGCACACACATTATTAGCTTTGCAGACGACATAGCGGCTGTTACGGTCAGCAAGGAGCTGCCTGCGGTTGAGAAGAAAACGAACACCGCTATCCGTTAAGTGGTAACTGGCTCGCGACCAATGGCTCAACACTGGCTGCCGCCAAGACGGAGGCAGTACTGGTCAGCAGCCGTAAGGTAGTGGAGACAGCCACACTATGCGTCGAAGCCAGTCATCAGGTACTTGGGAGTAATGCTCGCCCATCGGCTTACGTGCAAACAACATCTGGAGTTCGTCGGGGTAAAGGCGGCGACAGCTGAGAGTGCAGTAGCCAGGATGATGGAAAATAATGCGGGCCTGCGGCAGAAGGGCAGTCCTGTAAGGCCGCGCAATCGTCAATCATAGATGAGATTCTAGCTGAGGTTTTCATGCCATCTCCCCCTCGTGAAGTGTTACCCATCGGTGGTACTATCCGACGGATACGGAGAGTAGGTTTTTACTGGGTTTTCATACCATACATACCATACATACCATACATACCACACATACCATACATAGCATACATACTATACATACCGTACATACCATACATACCATACATACCATACATACCATACATACCATACATACCATACATACCAGGCATACCATACATACCATACATACCATACATACCATACATACCATACATACCATACATACCATACATACCATACATACCATACATACCATACATACCATACATACCATACATACCATACATACCATACATACCAAACATACCATACACACTATACATACCATACATATATACCATACATATATACCATACATACATACCATACATACCATACATACCATACATACCATACATACCATACATACCATACATACCATACATACCATACATACCATACATACCATACATACCATACATACCATACATACCATGCATACCATACATACCATACATACCATACATACCATACATACCATGCATACCATACATACCATACATACCATACATACCATACATACCATACATACATAACATACATACATACAATTTACATACATTAATGTGTGTGAGAATTTCAACACAACTTGTTGATTGATCGCTAGGAAAAAAATAAATAAATCACCCTAAGCAGCACCACAAAGGTCAAGTCGCAACCGCAGCTCAAATCGCAGGAGCAGAACCGGACGCCAAGGAAGACGGCATCAACGCCGTCGCAGCGGCGCAAGCAGCTGGTGGAGATCTTTACAGACATGCATGACGTCTACAGCGACAAAAAGACCCCCAAGCAGCTCACCGACAAGCTGTTAAAGGATTGCGCGGCAATCGCATGCAAGGCCAAGAAAAAGGGTCGTCGCCGCCAATCAGCTGCCATTAAGTGTGCGCTCAAGGATCTCGAGAAGACGTATCCGATCAAGAAAAGGAAACCGAAGTGTGTTAAGAAAGCCAAGCGTCGCATCAAGTCCAAGCGGTGAGTCAGTTGAACCATTCAACACAAACCAGTCCGACCTCATCAATCCTTGTCCCGCCCACTAGCTATACATTCCTGGTGCGCAAGGACAACTCGCGGCAGCCCACCACGCACCATACCTGCGCACGCGGCAGTGGCCGGGTGCCCTGCCACATGGGGTGGATGTGGACCGAAAGTGAGCTGGCACGACATAGATGCTGGAAACCGGGCGCCATCAAGAAGTCCATACGCCAGCTAATGGCCTATTTTCTGCGAGACTGTCCCGCGGACAAGATTGGCAATTCACGGTTTCATTATCGCCGCCGCCGCCAGAGCCCCAACCAGCCCGAGGAAGAGGAGCCCCTGATACAGCATCCGACGCTGCACATAACCAAGAAATACGATGAATACACCATCACAATGCGTCCGCTTAAGGATGCCAAGAGTCTGGCCGTGGACGCCAATCCGTATGCGAACATGAAGCCGGTTGTCTTTCGCATCATCAAGGACCCGATTGCCACGGGCATGCGCAACATAAAGATCAGTCTCAAAGACAAGGGCTATCCCGTGTGCAGCTGCCATCAGCCGGTGGCCAGTTGTTTCTGTCGCAGTCACATTGACCAAAAAATAGTCGCTCACGAAGTTAAGCTGTTGAGCGAGGAGCGCGGTTGGCGTGACGTTAGCGACATCTTCGTCTACTCGGATCTCAGCGAGAGCGACAGCGACAACGAATTGGAGTTTGGAGTCACACCCCCCGCGGGTGTCATTAAGCCGGAACGCCGCCGAAAGCCCGATCGGGTTAACTGCGAGACCCAGTACAATGAGAATGACTGGGCCATGCCCACCCAGTATCCACATCCGGCCAGCGCCCTAGTGCAGTACGGCGGCTGTGTGATCGGTGAGCGGAAAGCCAGATTCCCCTGGATCATGGGCAAGGGCTTTGTCCATCGGGAGCCAAAACCACCGAAGATGATCAACAAACCCAAACCGGTAAAGAAGAACAAGGGCAGACTGAAAGGTGGCTACGATGGCGGCATATTCGAGGGTGGGTACGATCCATATCAAGGCAAACGTGTCTGGCACAAATCGAACAAATTGGAACCTAGTCCGTTCTATAATTATAACCCAGGATCAACGCAAACGCGTTGAGCAACGTAACCTAATTGAAATTTTAAGTAATGCTCAAAAAATTTAAAAAATCTGACTCGTTGTGTACTACCTGATCTTAGAAAAGAGAAGTGCTGTAAATAAATGGTCAGTGGTTCCGCACGAAATGTGTGCAGATCTTATGCAAATAAGTAAATGCAGTTTTTTATACATATATATCCACTGGCTTAAGTTATAGCAGCGGGATGTTATTTTAGTCTGCATACCAAACATACATACATACATGCAAACATGCAGACGTTTGCACGATGCCGAAGTAAACACGACGTCTCGAAACTGGGCTTCAACTGTGAAGAAGCCAACCACTCATCGAAGGAGTGCAGCTGCAAGCCAAAATGCATTATTTGCATAAGCCACGAGACCGCGAACACGGCACACAATACCCTCAGCAGGGCCTGCCCGTGGTTCATTAAGGCATCACAGCCAACTGCCAAAAAATCAAGTTAATACAAATTAAATTGAACCATTGCAGAGCGGCCCAGGACCTACTCGCCCAAACTATACGGGAAGAGAACGCTGACCTCGCTATCGTCAGCGAACTACAACGGCCCAATCACGATTGCATTTTTGGTGCAGAGCAATTGAGGTGTCGCAGCAATTTGGAGATGCGGAAGCCCACCAGCGCAGCTTACCGACAGAAAAGCAGCAGCCGGATACACTAGAGCCAAGTGTAGCGGAATATATATATATGTATATATATATATATATATATATAAAGCTGCTATATTGCACCTAGGATAGAAATCAACGAGTTCGCCGCCATACTGGACAACATCACGAACGATGCATGAACCCGTTCGCCAGTAATGGGGAAGCAGTAAAACAAACCAACGTGGGCGCCTCTTGCTGGATGAGTTTGCAGCTCGCAACGTGTCGCTACTCAACATCGGCAACAGGCAAACATTCAACAAAGCAGGCAGAAGATCTGTCATCGACCTTACCTTTGCTAGCCCATGCCTAGCGAGACGCCCGACTTTGATGGTGTCAGACACACAATGCAATAATAAGCCACTACGCCGACCAGCACAAGGACCAGTACCACCAGCAGGGCACATGTAATCAAGACACGCTTAGTCCAGAAGCGTTGTCGCTAATGGTCGAGAGCAAGCAACTTCCGGCCAGTGGAGATGCCGACCACTGTGCTAACCATATAGCAAGAACGGTAGAGGAAGCATGCAATGCTGTCATGCTTAAAAAGAGAAGGCGGATAAGCAGGCGCAGACCTGTTCACTAGTGGAACCAGCATATAGAGACGGCTAGAAGCCATATAACCAGACGACGCTACCAACAGGCACACAGGAGACACAATTGCCAGGAGCTGGAGGCCTACAGAGCTCTTCGCCGCCCTTAAGAAGGCCATCAATCGCAGCAAGGACGCCGCGTGGAATTCTTAAGTGCTGAAGCCGACGCACAACCCTTTGGAGCAGCCTATAAATTGGTCATGGGAAGAATGTGCAGGACGCCAATAGCCACAAGCGAGGACCAGCTAAGAGCAATTGTCACCAAACTCTTCGCCTCGCAACCAACGCTGCACATGGCCATCACGTATGCCGTAGCGTCGGTTGTAAAATGGACGGACGCAGAGGAGGTGCTACAGGCCTGGATTCAGCCAAACAAGCCCCAGGACCTGCCTCATCACGACCCTGGACGCAAAGAACGCGTTTCATTCAGCTAGCTGAATGAGCATTATACGCGCGCTTCAAGGGCTCCAGATATCGGAGTACTTAATAAGCTTGATAACGGACTACTTCTCCAACCGTGTGCTCCTGTATGACACCTCTACAGGACAGCGTCACCACACTATAACAGGCGGCGTTCCACAAGGCTCAGTCCCTGGACCTACATTGTGGAATGTAATGTACGACGCAGCTCTCCGCTTGGACACCTCAGCAGGCACACACATTATTAGCTTTGCAGACGACATAGCGGCTGTTACGGTCAGCAAGGAGCTGCCTGCGGTTGCGAAGAAAACGAACACCGCTATCCGTTAAGTGGTAAATGGCTCGCGACCAATGGCTCAACACTGGCTGCCGTCAAGACGGAGGCAGTACTGGTCAGCAGCCGTAAGGTAGTGGAGACAGCCACACTATGCGTCGAAGCCAGTCATCAGGTACTTGGGAGTAATGCTCGCCCATCGGCTTACGTGCAAACAACATCTGGAGTTCGTCGGGGTAAAGGCGGCGACAGCTGAGAGTGCAGTAGCCAGGATGATGGAAAATAATACGGGCCTGCGGCAAAAGAGCAGTCCTGTAAGGCCGCGCAATCGTCAATCATAGATAAGATTCTAGCTGAGGTTTTCATGCCATCTCCCCCTCGTGAAGTGTTACCCATCGGTGGTACCATCCGACGGATACGGAGAGTAGGTTTTTACTGGGTTTTCATACCATACATACCATACATACCATACATACCACACATACCATACATAGCATACATACTATACATACCGTACATACCATACATACCATACATACCATACATACCATACATACCATACATACCATACATACCATACATACCATACATATCATACATACCATACATACCAGGCATACCATACATACCATACATACCATACATACCATACATACCATACATACCATACATACCATACATACCATACATACCATACATACCATACATACCATACATACCATACATACCAAACATACCATACACACTATACATACCATACATATATACCATACATACATACCATACATACCATACATACCATACATACCATACATACCATACATACCATACATACCATACATACCATACATACCATACATACCATACATACCATACATACCATACATACCATACATACCATACATACATAACATACATACATACACATTTACATACAATAAAGTGTATGAGAATTTCAACACAACTTGTTGATTGAACTCTAGGAAAAAAATAAATCAACATAATTAAGTCTTACTTGAATTCATGAAAACCACATAGTAAAGCGTGTTTTTCAATATGCAGCATTGGGGAAATTTAACTAAGTCAGCGTTTGACCAGGAAAATCTCTATGTATAATTACCTAGAATGTAAGAATGCCCCACATTTAACAATAAAGTCAAATCTTCGAAAAAATATTTATTTTAAACTCGAACAGAAGAGAGGCATCCATTGGCATTTAAAAAATTAATTTTAATTTATCAAAAAATTAGTATCAAAGTGTGCGTTGATATTTATATATGGCTTTGTTAAAGCATTTTGTTTGGCAATGTTGCTTATACTCTATTGAAATTTCAACGCGTAGGCTTCCAGGCTCGAGCGAATAAAAATTTATAGCATTGAAATTATTTTTGTGATTTTACCTTGAAATTAACTGTGCAGATAGCCAAATTATAAATTCAATAATTATTGTAGCTGAAGTTCAATTTCGATATGGCAAAGGCGCCGTGCTGTTGGGCATCTAATGAGATGGATAGGGACAAGGAGAACTACATACGCTGTTCGACTAGACAGAATCCTAACGATAAGGATAAGGATACCGACAGCAAAAAAAAAGGTAAAAAGGACAAGGATATGTGCTGCGGCCCAGCATTTCGATTACAAATGGCCAAGGACGCCGAAAGGGATCTGAGCCAGGAAATCGACGATCAGTGTGGCCCTTCGGCCAAGGGCAAGAAAAAGCCCAAGCCCAAGAAGGAATTCTTCCGCTGCTTCACAGCGAACATGATCTGCATGAAGCTCAACATGCCCGGACGTGACTTTGAGTGCCCCAGTATGCTAAAGATAACTGCCAGCATCTGCAAGGGCTGCAAGCCGATCATGTGTGCCAATCGCATTAATGTTAACTGCTTGCCCTGCGAGCCGAGCGCTCGATTCTCCATGCCGCGCGAGTGTCTGGACAAGGAGCTATCGGAGGGCATCACTCTGGCCGTCTCCTACATGAAGAAAGAGATCGGTGAGCGGAAAATCTAAGCGCACTTTCTTAATACACTTTGCCCATTCCAAATTGTTCCATCCTACTCTTTCTTTGAACTGATTGTCCGTTTAAACATGTCGATCTCCGATACTTTAAGAGCTAGGAATAGGCTATCGATAGCAAATTAGTTTATTGTTTTTTATTCGAACACTTTTGAAATAAGAGCTTACACTCTTTTAACTTCCCTATAATCGATAAACATCGATTTCCAGCATATCATGATAAGACACCTAGGCCCCGAAATATGTGAACCGGGTAACTTCCAGTCAAACACTTTTGACTAGAGCACTTTGTTCGATCCCCCAGGTCGTGGTTGCTATGTCTTGCCGGACTCGGTCATACGACGGATAACAGACACATTCCAGGAGGTCGTCCATACCGCCGAAGTGGAGCTGACCTGCAAGGGCTGTACCGTGGGCATGTGCACAGTACGTCTCTCGATGACCATGCGTTGTCAGAACATCGATGAGTAAGTAAGCTCCACGGCTGGAGCCTGGGGGCCGATAGCGCCTGAAATTCAATAGAGTAATGGTCACGGACATGGACCTTTGCAGCGACAACGACGACGACGACGGCGACGGCGGAGACGAATGTTGTGGCGGTATATTGGGGGACACCTCTCAGAGCTTTCCCACCACGTCCGATCCGTGCCAGGGATTCTATGGCACTGACGAACAGTCCGCTGATGCGTCTACCTTTTGTCAAACGTCCAGCAACAACAGGTTGAGATGTGAGGCTGGTCGCGAGGTGAGTAGCTGCATTCGTTCCAGGTCATAAGTTGACAATTTCGAACGGTTCCAGAAGGTGCACAGATTGGTCGATGTGGCTGGACCCTATAACATCTACTCCTGCGCTAAATCCGACAATGGCTGCTTGAAAATAGATGCATCACCTGGACCTGGCGGCCAATTTTCGTTTAGTGCGCGATCCCATTTGGGCGAGGGCAACACGAATCGAATGTGCCTGCCGACATCGGCACCCGAATTGAAGCAGATGGGCATGAAGAGGGGACGCGATTGTCCCATGTGCCACGAGGATGTGTCCTGGCTGCCACTGATTGCAGCCTGTCCGCATTGCGGCTACAAGCCGCTGCCCCACTTCGAGGAGAAGGATTACGATGAGAAGGCGACAGCCAAGGATATACTCGTTGACTTCTTTCAGCACATTGGCAGCGAATCAAAGAGCTTAGAATTGGAATCTTCCAGCGGCTGCTCCAAGACCGGCAACAATCAAGGCTCGGATGTCAAGACCGAGGACGCCTTCGAAACGATTGTCCATGATTATAAATCCCTAAAGCATAGCATCAGGAAATGCAAAAGTGCACAGCCATGTACCAGCTCATCCAAGCGATCGCAGAAAAAGCCGCAAACCGATTTGGTCAGTATCTTCACGGAGTTGAAGAAGATGTTCAACGTTGGCGGCGATGACGCGGAGAAAAATGCAAAGATTAAGGAAATCTGCGATGAGGCCTGCAAGCTGGCCAAGGCCACAAGGAATCGTCGGGCCAGTAAGTCAACCTCGAAAATGTCGGAACCGTGCGGCGTGCACAAAATACGCAACAGGCACAAGATGGCGCACAAGCTGAACGTCAAGTCAAGGGTCTATGCGCCCATGGAGCCACTCACTCATCCGCGACAGGGTCATGTCCACTGTCACGATGACGAGCGCAAGGTGCCCGCCCACATGGGCTGGTTGTGGACGCACAATCCGTTGGCGCAGCGGCCCGGTTGGCGTCCCGGTGCGATACGCCGTTCCATACGCGAGCTGATGGGCTACTTCCTAAAGGACTTTCCCGTGGATACCATACCCATCTCGAAGTATATGTCGTATCACAAGCATAAGCAACCGCCACCACATGATAGGGAGGAGAAGCCAGAGGATCTGGTGCAGGTGCCGACGCTGCATATTGAGAAGAAGAACGACGAGTATCTCATTACGCTGCGTCCGCTCAAGGATCCGGATACGCTAAAGCGTGCCGCCAATCCCTATGCGAACATGAAGCCCGTGCAGTTCCGCATCGTCAAGAATCCGCTGCTGAAGCAGGTGAGGGACATGAAGCGCTGCCTCAAGAACATGGGCTTCAGCAAGTGCAAGTGCCACAGGCCCGTGATGCAGTGCTTCTGCCGCAGCTTCATCGACAAGAAGCAGCTGGTCGACGAGGTGCAGCGGCAGTGCCAGAAGCGCAACATGCCCCACTGTGAGAACGAGCTGGTCCTCTCAGACACCACCGACAGCGAGGCGGAATTTGATTTTGGTGTAACGCCGCCAGCGGGCCTAATGCATCCTGAACGACTGAAGACGGTCCATGTGACCAATACGGAGACGCAGTATAATGAAAATGACTGGGCCATGCCCACCATGTATCCACATCCGCCCAATCCCAATGTGCAGTACGGTGGCTGCGTTCTAGGCGAGCGTAAGGGTAAATTCTCTTGGATCTTTGGCAAGGGCTACGTGCATCGGACGCCAAAGCCTCCAAAGATGCGCAATCTACCCAAGAAGAAACCAAAGAAGAAACTTCCCGGTTCGCCCAAGCCCCGCGAGAAAGGCGGTTACAATAGCGACGCACAGACAAAGAATGTCCCAGAAAGTGCGCACAACGAGAACCAGCCATATGGGGATCGCCTGCAGCGCCTGAACCGAGCTGCCCATCCACCGACAGCCATGCAGTTCCAGCAGCTCCAATCGCGAGTTTCACTCGACTCAAGAAAGGTGCGATTTGCCAACAGTAAAAGCGAAAGGTTCACTACGTAGTCCATCCAAATTTATCATTTTTGATTCTTTTTACGTTTTAATTCAGAAAATATTCTTTTTCGTTTTTCACACAATAAATATCGCACTTTTTTACCCGAGTGACGCGTCATTTTCTTTGGAACGAAAATGTTCGAGAATAGTACAGTGCAAATACTTGTCTTACCTTGATGGTGGAATTTTCAGCTTCGGGCAGAGGGTATTTCTTAGTCGGATATTTCTGTGTTGAGTACAAGTAACTTACCCGAAAATGGATGTACATGCGGTTCTGTTATTGTCATTTCTAACAAGAAAGAAGGGCTATCTTCGACACGCCAAAGATTTAATACTCTTGCAGACCCAACCTTTTCATAATGCTCATATTGCTTTGCCCGTATCTAAGAAGCACAGGGAAAATAGTTAATGCCGAGTATGGTTAAGATATCTTAAAAAAACAAAAAACTTCCATACAACTTAATTTTCGACCGATCGTTCCTATGGCAGCTATATGATATAGGGGTCCGATCTTAAAAGGATTTTGCATATGTATGAGGAGCATAGTAAAACTAATAAATGCCGAGTTTGATCAAGATATCTTGATAAACAAAAATGTTTTTCATACAAGAACCTAATTTTCCACCGATCGTTCCTATGGCAGCTATATTATAAAGTGTTCTGATCCAGCTGGTTTTGACATATGTACTGCGTGCAACAGAAAGAGGGACTTTTGAAAAGTTTCATAAAGATAGCTTTAAAACTGAGAGACTAGTTCGCATAAAAAAAGACATACAGACAGACGGACATGGCTATATCGACTCGGCTGTTTAAACTGATCAAGAATATATACTTTATGGGGTCGGAGATGTCTTCAATGCGTTACACATTTCACGGCAAAATAATTATACCGTCTGCAAGGGTATAGAAAGGTGGAAGACGTACTTTTATTTATGTACATCGCAGAAAGAACAAAATAGAGAGTGGATTAGAGTAAGATCAATAGAAAATTAGAAAAAATAGGAGAAGAGAGAGAGATGGAGAGATAACTCGAAAAGGTAACTAGAATGAGAGTATGTTAATTCTTGGTCCATTTGGTATTAGAGAAGAGCATAGTAAATGGCCTGGGCCAAGTGTTATCTTTAAATTTTAAACATCAGTTTTTCACCCATTTCCCGCCTGTCGAAAAAATGTAATTGTTGTCCTACTTCCTTGGACACTGCAAATCTTCGTAAGGCATAGTGGACTTCAATATCTATGAAAGTTGACCTTGCCAAAGCCCCAATAATCATATGTAATGAAAGATCTGCCACACACGAACTGGTAACCTTATGTTGCCCAACTGTCATCGGTTGCATAAAATGTAGATTTATTGAAAATCACTGTTTACCTAACCTTTGGGTGGCGGTTATATAACAGTAAAATGTGCGGCAACAGCTAAGTGCGTACACTTTGTGGCGCACACAAATTGCAAGCACTTGCCATGCCACATGCCACACACACACACTCACAGCTTAACGTTTTTCCAAGTAATAAATTAATAATTTTCTTTTGTCGCTCGTCGCGCTCTGTTGATGCCACCAACTGTTGCCGCTGATCTGGCGGGCTTTTGCATGTTTTCTTAACCTTAAGCTGGCAGCTGGCAGCAAACGCAATCGCTTGGCCTTTTGTAAATTTGCATGTCAAAAACCGGCTAAGCCAATATGAGCCAACACTTCCCCAGCCCCCTCATGCTCATCGAACCCCCTTCAGCTGCCCTGCTGTAGAACAGCAAAATTCCACATAATTTTTACGCTTTAGTTTTAATGAATTTGTAGCATGGTATCTTGATGACAGACGCAAGAGGCATGAAATTTACATGGCACTTACATGACATTACATACCGCATGACAATGGCACTGCAATTGGCAGTGGTAGGCGGCAGACGCTACAAAGAGTTAACTGGCAGCCAGCGCGACGCTCAGTGACAAGCGAAACTCCCAGCGAGCAACACGTGCCCCAAAGCCTCTCCAGAATGCGCCACAGTGTGGCCCTATGTCTGGTCCTGTTGAGCGTTTTTTTGCTACTGGCCCATGAGCACAGCGTTGCGGGCAGTTCCGCTTCCAACTACAACGACTACTACTACAACAATGCGAGCGTGAGGCAGCTGCGTTTCCACAACTTCGAGCCGCGACTCAAGGAGGATAGAGAGGAGAGGGGCGAACGTGAAGCACGCGGCTTCCATTTCAGCGCCAGCGGCGAGGATGTCAGCGTGGAAATGGAGTTCATAGTGCCCTTTGTCAAAGTGCCCGCCAAGCGCAGCATGCAGCTGGCCCGCGATGCTGTCCAGGGTCTGCTCAATCTGCGCACCGGAGCCCTGCTCAACACGGCGGTCATTGTGGCCGCCGGGGCCATTATAGCCGGAATTGTGCGTCTGGTGCTGGCGCCGCTGGTCTTTACATCCATTAACAATGCCCAGGGCTATGGCTACAGTGGCAAGCAGTACGAGGAGCAGCCAACGGACAGCAATACCATCAGCCGTGGCAGTGAGTAGCCTCCAGGTGATGACCATGTTCATCAATTCTAATCCCACTCTTCGTATTTCCCTATCTCTCTTCCTATGACACTTGCTCTGGCAGTGCGTAGTCTGACCCAGGTGCTGGAATCGCAGCTGGACGAGCACAGCATCGATGTCTCCAGTTGTGCCCAGCGCGCCATTTGCCACTACTTGCAACACAATGCAGCACAGTCGCAGCGCCTCAACCTGAGCCCATCAAATGCCGCCAGGCTCATCGATGTCCTGGCCAAGTGAGTAGCCTTTAGCTTCATGTCTTCTTTATGTCAGCTAATACTTATCTGTACCGCAGCTCACGCTGGCTGGACTCCTATCTAAATGGAACGGCCGTCTTTAGCGCCATTGATGCGGCACGCAGCAGCCGCAACTGCGACCAAATCTATAGCAGCTGCAGCTGGCCGCAGCTTTCGCGCAGCGTATTGCAAAAATCTTGGCCAAATGTGTTGCACTATGTAAATAGATACCTATTTGCTTAGTTATCTAGTTATTAATTATTTATTTATTGTCTTACTGAGTTAAAAAAAGAGAACATTGCAATTCATTTAGAACATACTTCGATTATTCACAAATCATTGTGATTTTTGATTTTGAAAAAAAAAATTCCCTATCTATTAATTTAAAGTTAAAGTCTTCGAGCTACGCTTAAGAAACCTTGTCTCAAAATCGACATTTATCGATATGATGGAAATGTGAGCATAAATCGACAGATTAAAAGGCTCGTATATGTGGTATACGAAAATGTATATTTCCAATTTCAAATATCCAGATCGAAGATGCTACCTTCATTTTCATTTTTAATGGATTAGATTTAGCTTGGTTTTTAAAATCAATTTGGGCTACAAACCATAACTAAAACTCGAAAATTGTAAAATTAATGGAAGTTAAAAGTATAAGAAGGAAATTTTATAAATATTTTTAAGGAAAAAAAAACTAAAACCTTTTTGAAATAAAATTTTAAAAACTTATTTATTATATTATTACTTCAAAAAAAAGTTATTTCCAGAAATGGATATAATAGTCCCATAACAATTACAAGAGCAAGTTTACAGTCCTTAAAATAAAGAACCAAAAGTTTGAAACAACAAAAATTTGATGCTAAAAAATAAACTTTAGATCATTAAACCCTTGATTTTTATCCAAGAGAAGTGGATATTGCGAAGAGCATGAAACAAGTCTCAGATGAATTTTCATAAAGATCTTTGAAAATGATTTTGAAGCTGATCGGATGGTAAGCAAAAAAGTAATAGTTGTTACTTTTATTTTATGTTTTTATTTATTTATGTAATAAAATTTAGGTATATTTGAAGGACGAACCAGTTTTCCTTTTTCTTTTCTGCGCCAAAGCCATAGCCACTGTCCCTTCTTTAGGTATTCAAGTCGCCGGCTTCTACATTGTTCAAGTCGCCTCTTCTATTCCTAACGTTGCCGTCTCCTGCAATATTAAAATCGCCGCCTCCTCCATAGTTGTAGCCGCCGTCGTCTCTTGTTGTGAAACCGGTGAGAATTACTTGAGTTCATATGAATCGCGTAGTAGGGAATTAGTTAAGTATACGTTTTCTGTTTTCATTTGCAGCGCAGCTAGACTTGGTCTTGCATACATACATAAAAAATGCATAAATTAATGTACATATATACATTCTTATATAGTCTATACATATATACATGCATACACAAATGCATATATACACGTAAGCTTATATAAATTCTTATATGCATTGATACAAACATTAATGAGTAAATTTAAACAAACACACATACACGCATACGCACACGCATGTATACATGCATGCATATACTCACGCACATACATACAGTAACGTAATACATACTATGTATACACATCAATACACACACACACTTGCATAACCAAAAACATACACACATACCTTTATACATACATAAATACTTACACAAACGTATACATACATACATACCTTCATACTAAATAAATACATACATACAGACATAAATAGGTACATACATACAAGCATTTATCGGGTGGCAAGATTTATGCTTAAAATTATATATCTACAGTTAACACTTATAGAGGGATTAAAAAATAATTTTAAATCCATCGAAATGGGAACCAAAAGGTGGAATCAACGTGCATATATGTTTTACGATAATTTTCCATCAAAGAGCAGTGGATTTTGTAAAAACATATCAAATAAATTTTCACAAAGATATTCGAGAATTAGAGGAAACGTTGCAAATTTTCTTTACTTGCGGTTGTAATTTTCCAAATCCGTAGCGCTGATAATGATGGCTATTCCTCGGCAGTGTAATTGATGTAAGACTCTATTTGGTCCATCTGGTGAAGATTAAACGGTTGGTTCTAGGCGAAAGCATCTTGACTTCCTCCAGGAAATTGTTTTGTAATCGGACTGTGTCAAGTGATTTATTGCAATCGGACAACATTTTCGAGTTTTTTCTATTTGAAGATAGGATAGATAGATAACTAAATATTAAAAAATGTTTAAGATAGGATAGATAGATAACTAAATATTAAAAAATGTTTATATAAATTTTAAGTATGAATTAACTTTATCAAACGCATTAAGAAGCCAATATCAAATTTTTCAGTTCAGATTGTTGATATGGGATTCACTTTTTTTAATTATAGGTAAAGCTTTTGTACAGATAAAATATAAAGGATAGTTCTCACTGACTGTTTAGGAATGATATTCATTTTCGAAAACTTTGTTTTTCAAGCTCAATCTTGTAGTCTTCAAGAATAAATGCAGCTGCGATCATGCAAGCTTCTAAATAAATTCTGTATTTTATTTGTAAAGCGTAATTTGTTTTATTACTCTCTTGGCGGAAATGCTGTTTCAATTAATAATTATGGGAATTTACGGCAGCCTAGCTTTAGGTTTAATGTAGTGCAAAACTTCCTCAATTGGTTCCTCAAAACAAAACGCTTTCGCACCTCAGCCCAGTTGGAGCTTATGTCACGGCTGCGCAACAGCCAGCAAGCTGCAGCAGAAATTGGAGCAGCGGCTCAGTGCAAATTATCACAGCCAAGAGGCAACGAAGCGGCGAGTGGCAAATTTGCTGGCGGCACGTAACTAACCAAGACACCAAGACCCAACCGAAACGATTTTTAAATCTGCGGCAGCTACACTACGCAGCGGACCTCTAGGCGGAAGCATGCAGCTTTTATATCTGACTGTGGCTAGTCTCATCCTGGCCGGCGGCGTGGGCAGCAAGGAGGAGTCCGAGCAGTCCAAGCAGTCCCAGCATGTGAGCTCCGGCTCCACAACTGCAGCAGAGCACAAGCAGCAGAAGAACAATCCGGGAATACGTCTGATATCCTTTGACAGCGTTGACAAGGACATCGCCTTGGGTCTAAACTATCTGATGCCATTTGTGGAGGTGCCCGTTCAGCGCAAACGAAACGCGCCGCCCAAGGTAAAGTATCTGATCTCAACTGCCTAGTTCCAAGATGCATTCGGAGAAAGAAATAAGAGTTATGCGATAAATTTAGTCGAGATCTAAATTTGTAAAGCTAAAATCAAAATTCCCAAGTCAAACATTTTTTAATACCCAAACGTCTATTGACACGGCTTAAAAATTAGTTTGTACTCATAATTATATTCCGAAATGTAGTTACAAATTCGAGTGCAGGAATTTCACACCATCAATTTTCTCCGAGTGTATTTGCCCCAACTTTGAGTACTTCTTTACAGCCCCTGGTCATCGTGAACTCCGCCGCTATCGTCAGCTGCAGCCTGGTGGCCGCTGGCGGCATTCTCGTGGGCCATTTGATACGCAGTCTGGGCCTGGAGACCATTGTGGAGGATGTCAAGTCTGAGGACTCTGCCAAGCACACGGCGCGTAGCCTGATCGACGAGGAGCAGAGTTTCCTACAGCTGTTCGATAACTTTAAGCTGATTTATCGGAATTCCAGCGGCGATCGTGTGGGTAAGTTTGACAGCTGCATCGCAATCCAAGCGAGTTTCGTTGATTCCAACTGCCCTCCAGAGACCGCACTGCCCAGTCTTATGAGCACCATCGAACGCACCTTTTTGGAGAACGACATCAATCTGCCCGTTTGCCTGCTCAAGTCAATCTGTGCGCTGACCCACAAGGCGGGCGAGAAGGTGCGCAATGGTCAGGCCTCCGACTTGGAGCTGATGCTCGATGGCGCCACCAGCTGGACCTGGCTGCTCTCCTGGCTGGAGCAGTCGCCGCTGCGCGAGGCCATCCAAGCGGGACGCATAGCTTCCCCACATTACTGCCACATCAAATATCCACGCTGCAAGTGGACAGCGCCCGAGGAGCAACTGCTCGACTTGCTCCACAATAATGTGCAATTCAAATGAGATTAGGTAAGACCTAGTCCGGTTATGGATTAAGAGTCTAAGTAAAGAGAAAAATTATGTGATCAAATATATGAGTATATGCAAATGTGTAAAAACAAATTGAGAAATCTGCCTATTTGTTAAATTAAAGTAAAATGGATGAAGTTGAATGGAACTTTTTTGATTTTACTAAAGTGCTGCCAAAAGAAAAGATTATTAAGTAATAAACATTCAAATGGACAACAGCAAAGCATTAAAACTTATTTACTTTCTAAAACATTCAAAAGGATATACTTTCGTAAATAACGTAAATAACTGAAATGATTTTTGAAAAAAAAGAAGTAAGCGTTATTTTTTTTTTAAATATTAAAATATGAAAATTCAACACATTATTCTGATTAAATCAATCGAGCTGCTAAAAAAAAAAGTATTTAAAAATTAACTTCCAAATAGACAATTGGAGAACATTCAAAAGGATTAACGGATATATAATAAATAACATTTTTTCTATATATATCTAGCTTTACTTTATGTGCCCCAAAAATCATATTAAATAATTTACTTGCATATAAAACATTTAAAAGGATTTGTGTTTATACTTACGTCCCTCTTAAAGAAATTGATTTTTAAAATGTATTCTAAATGAAATAAATGAAGAATTTTTGAAATTTCAATTTTTTATATGAAAACAATTGGAAGGTAGTTCCTGTTAAACTTACTTTTCTCCGACAGAAAAAGTAAAAAGAAAAAAAAATTAGAACAAAGCTTTTATCAATAACCTTCAATATAATTCGATTGATATTTTCAAAGAAATAACATATTTAAAAAATTTTAAATTATTTGATTAGGAGAAAGGCATAAATATTCAAAAGTATTTTCTGGTATATGTACACGTCATTCGTAGAGAAACAGAAACAGAGTATACGAAAATGAAAAACCATTCTAATTACATTTTTAATTTTTAATAAATTTTTTATTTTTAATAATCCAAAGAATTTCTGTGACCACTGAAATTACATTTATAAAATACAACACATTCTTGGTATTCCAATTAAAATTTTAATTTTTATCATAATTTCATAGACCGACTGACTTTACGGAAATTACATTAGAAAAAATTCAAGAAAACTTAGGATTGAGGTTAAATAATGTTACATAAGTTACATAAAATTGCTCTGGACATGTAACTTTTAACAGAACTTATTTATATACTTACTTATTGCACCGAGAAAATACATTGATTTCTAATGAATCCAGTTAAATGAGAAATAATTAAATGTACTTTAATTGTAATTACTGCTTCGCCAAGGCAAAGAAATGCTTTTAAAAATATTTTCTAATAAAACCGAAGTAAATGAACACCAAGTATAAACCTTTAATATACTCACCACTTCAAAAACATTGAAGCCAATCAATAATTAGTATGTAGGTCATTTCTTTACTTGGCCTGCCCCAAAATCAACTGTTTTAAAAAAATTCAACCAGATTCCCAATCGAATTAAAAACTATTAATTCGGCATCAATGAAAGAATTCTAAATTTATTTAATCATTATTAGTAGCAAAACATAAATGTGAAATACATAGAACAAAATCGAGTTTGATTAGCAAATATGTTGAAAAAAAATTCAAACTAAAAATATGTGTCGTTTTGTGAATGTTACGTCCTTTTGAGTTAAAAGCTAAAGCTCATTACAAAAAATTCATAGCAAGTCAAGTTGAAAAAGAAATTAAAGGACGCAATTATTGAGCTCCTGGTAAATTGTAATTAATTTCTTTTTTTAAGATAATTGTTAACAGAAATGCACAAAATTGAAGATTGAATATCAAAATTAACTGAACTGACGAAATCTGCACGACTTAATTAAACATATATTTTAACATTAAATTAGGGTGCATCATTTGCAACATTGAACTTAAAACTAATGCATTTTTAATAATTTTTTAAAAGTTTTCGAAATGTTTCTTGTGTTAAAATTTTTATAAAACTATTTCAAACGAATTTTAATTTTATTGTTTTATTTTTGTGTTTTCACAGTTTTTGCGCCTGAATTTTGATCGGATGTGAACCGTCACCAAAAAATAATTTTGAGTCTTCAAGCAAAAACTATGAAAATGTTTTTTCCTTTTTGATGTTTTTTTTTTTTTTTTTGTATCTATTTGCCTGTGTACGAGCTTAACTTATTTCGGTAAAATTGTTTTTTATTTTTTTTGTTTTTTGGGTTTTTCTTCTCAACTTTTTTGTTGCATGTAGAAACATTACGACTAAATTACATACATGTATATTCATCTGTTCTAGGCAGTTAAAGTTGCTACAAAACTATTCAAAATATTTTTAACCATTCCTGTTTTTGTGTGTGTCGTGTGGTTGTTTTTCGGAGCGCGGTCGTCACACGGCTATATTTATAATTTTCACATTTACGCAAGGCTCAAAAACGAATCTTTTATTTTAGCTTTAATTTTACTTCTGTTAACTTTTCCACCCCAACGCTGTAAATGCCAAAATAAACAAAACCCAACTAAAAAACAAAATGATGCTTACGTAAAATAAAATGCAATGCTCCCCCTAATGTTGGAGGCGTTTAGGGAATCTCCAGGTAGCTCAGCCCCGCGTCCAGTGGGTTGTTGGTGAACTCGAAGCTGTAGTCGTCGTTGCATAGATCCATTAGGTAGGGTGTGCGCAGCAGCGGATTGCTGCTGTCTATGAAGGATATGGAGGACTTGCGACTGGTCGCATTGCTACTAATTGTCTCCATCTGATCCTCCTCGCACTGCGGCGGCGGTGCCGGCGGCACAGAGGCAACATCCATGGGCGTTGCCTCGCGCTGATTTTGCAGCGACCTCCTGGCCATGCCCGTCTCGATCAGGCTGATGTCATCGATGCCGCTGTCACTGGAGGCATCCGTGTCGCAGGCGGTCAGCGCCGGCGGCATGAAATCATCTAAAGAGGCCACCGAGCTGGCATCACCATCGCAGCCGGCGCTAGCGGCATCGCAGCTCGGAAAGACCGGTGACATCTGAAGGCTGGTGCCACTGATCAGTGGATTGTTGCGATAGTTGCGCAACACCGAAGCTGTCGACGTGCGGCACGGCGCCGGCGTCGAATACTTGGCGGCGTTGCCCAATGCAAGGCTGGGCGACACCACCTGGTCCGGAGAGTAGTCGTCAATGGACGTGGGCTGGGCATCGTCTTCGCTTTTCTTGGTCTGCTTTATGTGGGGGAGGAGGAGAAAGGAAAAACAAATAGAAGATCTAGTTAGTCATATATTACAATTTAGGGAGTACCCTTAATGGTGATCATAAATTTATCGATCACTTTTATTTTCAAAAGCATTCGTTAAATTTATAATCTGGCTTTAGGGTGATATTAAAATTCAGGCGTTAGAGCTGGAGTGCCAGTTGAGCTTTTCCGATAATCCATTTCATTCGCAAATAATCGATTAGTTGTAGTCAATAACTTAATAGTCTGTATGTAAGGTTTCAAAAAGAACTGCAAAAATTGAAGCTATTTGACAGCAACTTAACAACGGATTACTGTAGAAAAGCTCAGTTAATGTTACATGATGTTGCTTTATCTTATCGATAATATTCGTTGATACCATCGATAAGTTTTGATTTTCGTTACAATTTTAATAAAATCCAACAAATAAACTGAACGTAAGATGGTATTTTTTACAGTTGAAAAAAAAATTAAATCGATAAATGTATCGAATTTTTTAACTTCATTTTTTTGGCTCGATATCTGAACATTGTACATTTCTTATATTGGTCGTAAATGGAACGATTGTTGGTTGTTTTCTTATAAGTACGATTGTTAATTTTGGGAACTTAAATTAAATTACAGTATTTGCGTCTAAAATTAATCCTGAATCATACAATTAATTACTCTAAAGCAGTCTTAAGTTAACCAGCCAACAATTAGCTTATTTAAATACCTAATTCATATTCAGAGCGAAGAGCGTGCGATAAGAGGAGCCTGTCAAAAATCCAGCCTAAATGGCAAATACAATTTGTTGTCTCAGCCACAGAAGCACACAAATATTTAAAGTCACGAGAGACAGCACAAAGGCAAGCCCCAATCCCCTTTACCATGGCCCAGGAGGAGCACAAAGGAATAAGGCAAAAAGCAGCAGCACTTGAGTCCATCAAGAAGTCGAGCGCCAAAAAGGAGGTCGCCGCAGCAGCTACTCGCTATAAATCATATTTTAATGATGGCCCAGCCGGAATTCGTTACAGTAATAGAAGACGACAAGGGGAGTTTAGACTTAAGGGCGGGGTTTGGGAATATGATTATGCTATATTTTGGTTACAAAAAAACTCCACCACACACACAGAAAGGCAGCGTCAAATGCCACAGGAAATCAAGCACATATCAATCTCCCAAGTAAAGCTGAGGGCGCGTTTTCAATAATGAGTGCAAATGTTGAAGATAAAGTTGCCAAATAAAAGTGTGTGACTGGGCGGGCGGTTGGTTGGATGTGCGGTGCGGTGATGGTGCACCTAAAGCTTGCTACAAATATGGTCGAGGTTAAAGTACAGTTTATTGAACCGCACGAATATTTGCAATGCTTTCACAGCGCTAATTGCAACGCAGTTGGCCATCAATAAGCGGCAACAAAAGCGAAAGTGCTGTAAATTGATCGATGGGCAAATATGGGTCCAGACAAAGGGCTCATGCATTTGTGGAGGCGGGGCAGGGCGTGGCAGCTGTCAGCCAAAACGGGCAGCAAATATATATTGTGAGACAACAGCAACGCTCAAATCTGTGACACATTAACAGCTGCCTGGCCAGAGCAGAGCACGGATGCATAGATACAGATACAGATAGAGACACAGATATAGATACACAGATACACAGCTACAGATACAAATCACAGATACACACACTCATTCTTGTTGCTACTCACTCACTAACGAATTTATAAAAAAAGAAAAAATGTGCGCGGCACGCGCCTACAGCCCACGGGGCATGGCTAGGTGCCTACGGGCGGCCAACTTTCGATACTCTGGCAACGCCATAATAAATGCCAAGCGCATTGTAATAGGTTTATTGTATGATATATTGTTTGGCGTGCCTCTATATTGGGGGCTTACAGTCATAAGCATCGACATCGCATCGACCTAATATGCCACAATAATAAATTATTAAAGCCCGGACAAGGCGCTGGCTTAAGCCAAACAGGCGCATTACAATAATTGTTTCGTTATCCTCAGGGAGCTGCAGGGGAAATCAACAAGAAAAAAAGATGTTATAATGCTCAAGTTAAACAACTCGCGAGTGGCTGATACCCTGCTAAGAGTTACATTTCGGGAACGGAAATAAGGCGATGACAAAATTGATATTTATCGGAAATCAGATATTTAAACATTTAAAATCGATAATTATCGAATGAAAAGCGCCAGCCTTAAGTCTAAAGTATATTTAATGTGCCTTTATTTATAGCCCGCATAATAAATGTTTATTGCTTTGATTGTCCGGGCCTAAAGAGTTTAACCTCAATCAATTGTGTTTAAAATCGATTTTAATCGATTAGAGTTGAACCATTAAAATGGCATATACATTTTAATAAACTTCATCTGGCCAAAGTGATATAATATTAAAATTAATAATATTTATTGCCGCCAAGTCTTGTACAATTCTCAAGAAATTATGTTGGAAATCGATTTATATCGATTTCGGTTAGAAGACCTATTTATTTAAGTAACATTTACTGTGTTAGTTGAATGGAATGGAATTTAACATTTATGCTACTGGTTAATAATTATATTACCGAATTTCTCCGTCATGGGCAAATGCTCACCTACTTTATGGGATTTTATATAAAACTCAGAAACCATTTGCACATTATCACGCCCCTTTCACAACTCATTTTTATTGGCTACAGGGTATGCCCAAAAAATGCAACTGCTGAGCTTTGCAGCTCTTTAAAGCAAAATTTAATTGGTTTTCATTGTAATTGTAATTTTCATTTCGGGCTTTTTATTACCAACGCCCCCAAGTTCATTGACATTACGTGCCCAAATGAAATGAGTCACTTGGGCGCCTCTTTAAATGCACAGCAGAGCGCAAAGTAATTAAAGCCGAAACTTTTCTGCTGGGCTCCCCCCTAAAAATGATGGCCTACATCTTGGCGCAGCGGAGGAGGAAACTGAGACAGAAAGTAAAAGTTGTATTACGCCTCGCCTGCTCAGGCCATGGTAGCTGAGTCTCATTTGCTGTTTAAATTTTGCACAGTGGGCGTTTGACTTTTGCCACCCACGTTGCATGTTGCGCAATTCGTGTGGCAGGCTCCAGGGAATACGCACTTATCGCTGACATCGAGCTGCGAGCTGCGAGCCATGAGGCACGAGGCAAGCGCCACAACTTGAAATTGATTTTCTACGCTGGCATTTTGTCAATTTGGTGCCACGCACGAAAGGCTTGCCAAGGGCTTGTGCCACGTTCAAATATGCTTATCAAAATCAATAAGCAGCAAAGGCAACTGATTTGCCATTGAGGCAAGGAACAATGCGGCGTATACGTAATGAGCATTGCCGAAGCTCAGCTTGAGAAATGTTTGCAAAAATTTGTCAAATTAAATGTTTGTCACACATCGCAATATATAAAGCTTTAAATATATATCTCTGATAAGCGCACACATGCGTGGAATCAGTGTGTGCGTGTGCGTGAGTGTGTGTACTTGTGAGTGTGCGCGTGTGTGTGTGTGTGTTTGTGAGTGTGCTTAGCATACTTAAGTGCGCAGCTTGTGGCTGAAAGCTGACGCCTAACAGAAGGACACTGTAAGCTTTTGATGAAGCCGAAGCTTAAATACCCTTGAACAAATGAGACACAAGTACAAGAGTATTAATTATAGTTATTATCCAAAAGGTTTTGATATTGCGTAAAGAAGGGTAAATATATTTTATTAAACTTTTTATAAAGAATATGATGTTATAAAAGTTAAAATTAAATAAAAAACCTTTAAATATATGTGAGGAACATAATAGAGCTCATCATAGATAGTATTAATGTAAATAGTTATTTATGAATAAATAAATTTATATTTAAATATCATCATCATGGAGGAACATAGCGTACGCTTCTCAAGCTGCGGAGTTTCAAAATTTTAGGGACATTTCTCGAGGAAAGTCGTCATATATTTGGAGAAAAAACTGATAGATTGTGTTTCAAAAGAAGCACGAAAGATCCAAGAACTATTTGAAAAAACTTATTTGTTTCTCGAATTATCGTAACCTTAAGCTGAACCTTAAAAAAATAGCTCACCAAATCCCAACCACTTTTTTAAAAGAAGTAAATTTGTACATCACTTATTGCGGAAATAGCTATATGATATAGTGGTCTGAGCTTATTCCTATGACAGCTATATGACAAGGTTGTTATTAGTAAGTTTGCAGAAGCTATGATAAATTATATGAATATGAAGAAAAGACAAAAGAGGTTTCGAATCAATAGCTCAATTTGCGACGCATTGTTCCTATGGGAGCAATAAGTAATAGAAGTCCGAGCAAAATAAGCTGTTGTCAATTTATGATTTAAGGCTTCACAAATGTTCAGTTTAAACAAAATATAATGAACATTTGAAAAAGTTTTCCATATAAAATAGAATTTTTACCGATTGTTTCTACGATAGCTTTGTATATAATATAGAGCAGATCGGGTTTGATAAGTTTCTGCTCGCGTGTAGAGAACTTGTTGGGGCTTTCGATTGATAAGCTCGGCTTAGACAATATGAAGCAAAATAAAAAGGCATTTCACACAAAAATGGAATTGTGCGCACATATTCTTACCTATTATAGATAACGAGATTCTGAACGAATGAAGCGAACATAAATATGTACTACCAGAAGAAAAGAAGCAGCTATGCTAAGTGTGTTTTGCATAGCCTAAAGACTGAAAGACTTGTTCGCTCGTAGTTGGATATAACTATATAGACAGCCACTATTATATGCTATATATTCCGTAGACTCACTCGCTGACAAAAAGAGACTACCTCCTAATAAAAAGACAAAAAAAGGCAACAGCTAATAAATGGCCAGAAGAAGTTGTGCGATTCGTTTTGATAAGCCAAAACTGAAGTTAGGCAACTTGATTAGGCACAAAATAACAGGCAGTCAGCATCATTTATACCAATCAAAGATATTCATATAAATAGCCCAGCTCGGCCAGAGGCCTGTCTGAGCAGGCGGAGCGTAGCGCTGGGCGTTGGCA